GATAGGTCAAAAACTAAAATAAGAGGAGAGCGTGTAGCGTGTGATTCCTGATTCATTGAATTGCGATCGTTGATGTTCATAGGCATACGCACGCATCCACTTCACCAGTTCTACAGTAGGCCTATCGGTACTATAGACAGCACAAGCAACAAGACCGAGGAAAAGATGGCTTCCAACAAAGACAAAAGGAAATGCTTCTCACTCGAATTAAAGGCCGAGATAATCAACGAAGTTGACAAGAAAGGGAAGACTAATCTAAAGCGCAAATTTTATTGATATGGAAGAGAGGTAATCCCGAGAATTTTTGGAAAATTTTTCGGTAATTTCCCCTTTGCATTCCTATAGCGGGAACTCACCTACAGCGGGATTTTTCTTCTGAAACCAAATGTCTCGCTATAGCCGTGCTCTACTGTGCTAATTTTAGAACACAGAATCTGGATGGGGTGAGAACGGAGAAGAGATTTCCCGACTGAAAGCTAAGTGCCGTTCGCTAGTCAGCCCTCGACTCTCACCTCCGTTAAAATTCTTGCTGTATACTGTATAATATTATGATGACTGGCCACTAGGCAAACCATCAATTCGCCGGGGGCCAGGTAAAATTGTACCAGGAAGTAAGCGGTGAACAGAACACAAAACAGAACTTAGGTGTCTCAAAATTCAATTAACGATAAAGATTTGAGTCATCGTGACGGTACGTGCATGTGTTAATTAACTGAAAGACACTAGAGACAGGTTTAATGATGAATATTACAGGTGAAATTATAAGATGTACTGTACAAGACAATCGCTCCATCAGAAGAGCCAAACTGGCCAGGAATGAGATCTTCATGAATTTATTTGAAACTGAATAAGAACTATTATCAGCAGCCAAGGAGATTAAAAGTAAAGGAGGATGCTCTGTGGGCGGCACCGCACGCCTGATAGGAGCCCTCTCTCGCAGCGGAACTATGGTCTACCTGCGCTGCTCGATTGCCCGACTCACGCACTGAATTCTAGAGACAAGAAAGAAGGTTTTATTCCGAGTTCCGTGTAGTCAGTTAGTAAAAATGTCTTCCACCCGTGTTGTGTGTAAGTGTAAAAACCTATTATGATGCTGCAGTGGACAGCCACATCCTTCACGAGGTGACCCTGTTAACCTAGACCTTGCGGGCCAGGGACAGAACACAACGGATCTAGAGGAGACAACCTCGAAAAAATACTATACATGTATATAATATATATGCGTGTGTGCGTGCGTGTGTGTGTGTGTGTGTGAGTGTGTGTGTGTGTGTGTGTGTGTGTGTGTGTGTGTGTGTGTGTGTGTGTGTACATATTATACATTTTAATTTAAAGTATATATTGCTTTCCATGGTGTATGCAAATTAGATGCCATGCGCAGCAGACCTATATTTTGACGGGACAAAATCTAGAGTCTAGGTTTCAACATGTATCTTATTTTCATGTTTTTACTAATCATGTAACACACCTTAGCTTAGCGTATTGAGTTCAACCAGTCAGTCAGACTTGTTTTATGTTTTTAAGCCCATTCATCTCCTAATTACTATAAGACTACTGTTGTCTAAATGTAGATATCGAGGGGCTCCATTAAAATATTAAATCAATAGAACTACCCAACAACGACAATGATGAATATCTTGTTAAAGAAACACCAAACCATACCAGATGAGGGGAGGGGGTAGGGTGGGTGGATAAGAGTTTGAGTCTTGGTTTAGATCTAAATCTATTGTTGTAGTCTTCACCTAAGATCCCACAATTTATAATTCCGGTTCACTTAAGATCCCGCTGTTAAAAAATAAACCAAACAAAGCAACAACAAATTTTACTATACTAGTCATCCCTAAGATAAGTTATCCCCCTCTGTAGTGTGAAAGGACTAGAAACGCTGCTTTCCCTATCGTACTTTACTGAACAACAAAAAACCTTCAAAATCATACATGCTCATGCATGAGATCACATCTCCGCTCTAAATCTCGATGCGAGGTACACGTTTGCTCCAGACGCAAGGATTTTACAACAAAGGGACCACGCCCAGGTGTGAACTCCTCATCGACGCCTTTGATTTTGCCGAACGTCGAACTCGCAATAAGAGCCTACCGCCTGAGCTTACAGCCAAGGAACAAGGAGATTAAAAGTTTAGTTCTAAACTCCTTGCCAAGGAATGATCCGTTAGGTAGAGCCAACAAGGCGCCTCATACCCATGTCCATCAAATTATCAGGGAAGCATGTAGAATAATATTGTGTCAACGGGATTGCCCATCACCGTGAACGGCTGCTGAGTGATCGCTTCATTAATAAGGACAGAGGAACGCAACGACACAAGCTAACAGACTGTACTATTCCTGCATCAACAAAAATAAGTTTTGATCTCATTCGAAAAGTCCAAAGGTGCTGATACTGCTATCTCTCTTTTTTTAAATTTGAAATTATTGTGGCTCTCCACTTTGGGGAAAAACAGGAAACAAAAATTATTGTAATCAATAATAGGCCTATTATTATCTATAGACCAAGACATAATACTATACTGTTAGCAATCAGATAAAGCTGGCAACGACCCTCTTTTGTGTTCGCTGTTCCTTACACACAAAGCTAGTTATGGCACACGCCTAGAATCATGCAGTCATATCTTAAATTCAGTTTAAAAAATACATTTTTCACCCTTTCTTATTATAATTAAATCTGTTAGTGTTAGCGTCTTGAAAGATTATCTTTATGATTTGGTATGTTTGATAATTTTATAATACTTGGATAAGTTTCCTTCTTATTTTGCCGATCTTCTTAATTTTTTAACTAGCTATATAACATAAAACTCTTAAATAATAGAACAGTCCCTAGGCTTTCTCAGTTGCCAAGAACAGTTCGTATCACACACATAATTTTTTTTTTTTCTCCCTGTCATTCTATCCTTCATCGCGCCAGTTGATCACAATCTCTCTCTCTCTCTCTGTCTCTCTCTCTCTCTCTGTCTCTGTCTGCCTGTCTGTCTGTCTGTCTGCCTGTCT